TATACCACCCAAGTCCTATCTATTTACATATCTAACACCTAATCATTATATATCTCCTTACATTGTAAGAGAAATTTTGCAAAAATCTCCAATTTTTTTTTTTGTTCAGAGTGTGTCCAATGAGAGAGAATCTTTTTTATTCATGAATATTTATTAAAGGTAATGAGAAATGATTATCGATTTAAATTATATTGTTTTATTGACATGAAATTAATTCAAACCAAATCAGTTTGTTAACTTAAAATACTCTAATCTTAATCAATTTATGAAATTCGTTTGGTAATTTCAAATGAGCAACTCGCTCGGAAGCTGAATTGCTCGGTGCTGATTTATCTCAAAAGCCGAGTAGATTAACTATGTTATGACCCGACGAATGACGAATGACGAATGCAAAGAAATAGACAATGAGATATGACACAAACAGAAGATAATGTATCGGATAAATATTCTAATTTAATCAATTTATGAAATTAGTTAACCCACCCCAAGAGATTGAATCCTCATTGATTTTTCTATCATAAAGAATACTAATTTTCCTCTCTTTTAACTTAACCTACCTTATTCCTAACTCTTATTTTGATCAAACAATAATGTATCATATTTGCCTGAGTAGTAGGTGGTCAGATAAACTTTTGAAATTTGTACAAGGCCAATGGAAATTTGAGCACGGCAGCAGTGACTCAGCAGTTCAAGCAATGGCATCAGCCACCAACCACATGCGATGTGTATGCATGTGTGTGTGTGTCTGTGTATATATACACTCATTTTAATGGTAGACGGAGATCCAAAACACACATAAAAAAAATAGAGGGACTAGACACCAATTTTTTTACGTGAAAAGATTCTAAAAGGAGAAAAAAAAAATTATGGGGTCTAGCTGAATCGAAGTAATCCACTATATACTTATAAGTATATGAGAGATGTTTTTTTGTCAATACAGGGATAACGAGTTTACAGTTTTACATTGAAAAATTACACTTTTATTTATATTTCTAAAAAAATATAAGTGTCATGATATTCAACAAGAATCGTAGTTTGACTACAACAAATGCAAGCAATGGTCGTCGATAGCCAGTAGTTGGCGACAACAGATGATTATGAAAGACGGTGGTCGACGGTCTTCGGCTGCTATGAAAGCCGGTGGTTGCTCATCAGCTCTTCTATTCAAAACAGACTCTATAATTCTCTTTTTCTCTTCTTCACCTACACTTTCAAGTGGAAGAAGGGGTTTATTTATAGTTTTATTGGGAGGGCCATTTTGGATCCCAAGTAGAGGGAAATTTTGATGCCCTTAACTCCAACTGACATAATATCTCAACACGGCAAAGAAGCTTCTCAATCAGATTGAAAAATATTTTATCATTCATATACTATGGGAGCAAAATACTAGAGTTGATGCTCTCTTCATGCTTGTAATTACAACGAATAGATACCTCTTCAAAAGGAGGTGGATTAAAAAATTATATTTTTCCCAAAATCTAAGACCCTTGGGCGATTCAATCCATCGAAGAGGGTAGAAGGAATCTTATTAGACATACACTATTAATTCTTTACTTTGGGATGGGATGTTGCTAGATGATGCTACCATTTTAGTTTGCCTCCGATGAAAGGTTGCAAACTTCATCCTCATTCATGATAAATTTTACAAAAGAACATTTGTTGGTTCATTTCTTAAATGTCTTTCCATCTGAAACTAGCTATGTTTTATGCAAAGTTCATTCCAAGATACGTGGGAGCACATGGGGGGTAGAGCTCTCACTCTCAGGATAATGAGGTAAGAGTTTTATTAGCCCAAGATCAAACAGGATGCACTAGACTTCACACTAAAATGCAAAAAAAGAAAAAAAAAAACTATCAAATGCACTCCAACCTCGCCTATGCACTGTCAATAGAACTCACATTATTTTTAGGCCCTTGACCTTTTACACAAATGGGTTTTGACATCATGGGATAATTTCTAATAGCCACCAAACAATAAAAAATTATCATCTTTGTTGTTGACTACTTCACTAAGTGGTTGGAAGCTAAGCCACTTGCTAAGATCACTGAAGCTAATGACAACTAATTTATCTTAAAAATATCATCTATTGCTTCAGTCTCCTCGCAAATATTATTACTAATAATGTAACTCGTTTTTTTGGGAAAGTCTTCACATCCTTTTAAAATGATCTCTACATCTAACTGATACACACAATATAGCTCATCCATGGGAGAATGACCAAACTGAGGTAATTAATCAAACCATACACAAAGCATTTAAGACTCTTCTAGGGGGTACTGGGTTGAAGAACTTCACATTATCTTCTTGGCTTACCGCACCACCTCAAGAGCACCAATCTGGGAGACACTTTACAAGTTATATTTTGGCATGGAGTCTGTCAATCCAGTTGACATTAGGGTCCCAAAACCTCGAGTTCAAGCCTACAACCCTAATGACATTAAGCAGAAATTTCAACATCTAGTTTTTCTCCAAAAAATGCATGATGTGACCCCATCTCAGGATTGCTTCCTACCATTAAAGGGTGGTCTACCACTTTAATCAGAGAGTTAAATCTCAACCTATCTCTATTTGAGATTTGGTTCTATGTGGTCTCGAAGCAGCCGGTCGTGACCCCCAATGCAAAAAACTATTTGCTCTCTAAGATGGTCCTTACATGGTCATTATCATGGCTAAGCCAAGAACCTTCAAGCTTAAGGACTATGAGGGAAAAATTCTTCTCTAAAGATAAACTATAAAGAATCTTTACAAATACTATCAATGACCATCTAGTCATATGATATTCATTTTGTGCATGTCATTGTTAACGTTTCCATTTCTTAGCTATTGCACTTGTATCTTTCATGGTGTTATTGTATCGCTAACTTTATCAAATGAATAAGATTCCTATTTTTGTATTCCATATGAACAATGCATCCAGAGAATATAATGATTCATTAATGAGCCAATTCATGCTTTTGATTTGAGAAATGTGCAACTTTAATTGCATTTTAGTAGAGCACGATTAATCCCGGGGAATTCAATCTAACTTCTCCCATCATGTTAATCGTCGAGTCTTATTTTGATAAATAACCTTAGATATATTAAATTGGTTGTACCACACCTAACCTCTTCCATATAGATTAAACTAGTAACCCTGGATAGGTTAAAAGTCATTAGTGGACTTCTAATGGCCTCTTCTATATGGCTTAACATTATCGAGAGATATTGAGATGTGCACCCTTGGATCAGTCAAAGATGTTCGTGGTTTTCCCCCAGAATAGCCTCATTAATCAGAAACTCTAAACAACATCCCACTTCTACAACAACATGAAAAAAATTCTAAGCGAGGCGAATATCCATCTTCACTACTTGAACACACAAAGGAAAATAAAATGCTGAGGGTGGGTAATAGCCAATGAATTGAAATCACTCAATAACATCACTAATAATTACATTAGTCATACAAATGCAACTGAGCATAGATAAAAAAAAAAGACAGGAAAAAACATAATGATAATCAACATCAACATTCTCCTCCTCCTTGATACAGACCAAATTATGCAAATCATTATTGAATAACGCAATAAGAGTTTAGGTTCATGTCAAAATTAGAGCTTCGCCTCCATCTAGACATTTTTTCTTACATAAATATACTACCCTTAGTTTTAGAATCCATCCAAAACTTTTTCAAATCTCAACTCTTCCCATCAATATTTTCAAATCAAACTCATTGAACCCCATTCAACCCTCTTTGTTTTTTTTCCCAAATCCCAACTAAACTCTAAGATCATCAAGCCTAAATCTTCTTGGTAAACCTTGCTCATTGGGATAGTCCAATATATCTCTCTGGGCCATTTCATGACATGTCATTGGATTGTATGTTCCAATATTTGAACTTAATCTTTTTGGAAATTTTGAATTTGGATTAATCCATTACCTCTTAAAACTTCAACTTTGAAAAATCCAGCTTCGAAATCTGTATAATAGAAGTTAATATTTTAATTGAGAGTTTTCTATGAAGACCACAACTCTAGAGATGTAGTTGATTATGAGGGATTGCCCTTTTAGAGATACCAAATTTAAAATAAAATAAACCATATTTTACACCTGTATGATAGAGGAAAACCTCTACTTCATATAAATCTTAAGGATTTTCATTATTCAAATGATTAGATCAATTTTAAGGTAATATTTATTCCCATCGGGGGTGGTATATTATTCTTCAAATGTCATATCTGATTATTTAGATAAAATTCTATCGAGATTTATGGTGGATAAACTCGAAAAAAAACCTTCACCAACACCCTTGCGATGCAAAATTGTATTCCTCTTCTAACGATTTTCATTATATTCCTTGGATGATCTTCTCCACCTCGTAGAAATCTAGATCTCTCAGATCTTTCCCTTACAGAATCGTCGCTCACATGCATATGAAAAGAAAAATGATTGAAGCTGAATATGCGAGAAATGCTCTTGATAATATGACATTCGATGAACCTTTGAGCGCCTTAATGATGTCAGAATGGAGTGATATTAGACTCGTTGGATTCATCTTATCAAAACGTTTGATCTATAAGCTTTCTGGATTCAATATCCATTTGACCTCCAAATTATGTCTGAAATGTTTTCAAAAGTACTTTAATGACTTGATTGAAGCTTGATTTGACTCTAATTGGATCAATTTTTATATTTTTGATTTTATCCATTGAGCCGGCCAATTTAACTATAAGTTTGATGAAATAAGAGTTTTGAATAAATTTTAATTGAAGTAAAATTTTTTTTTTTTTTCAAAAAATTAACTCATAATACTTATCATACCTATAAATTAAGCATATCAAATGATTATATACATTAATAAAGAAAAATATAGGATTGCATTTAAATATTCCAAAAAATAAATAAATAAATAAAATTTCTAGGTGTGGTCCCATGAATTCCTCATCAATGAGAAAAAGCTTATTTACAAATGAAACCTCCAAAGTGTATTTACTCTTCCACCGTAAACTTTCGGCTAACCTCTAACGATAAACACAAAAAGGAACCCTCCCGTCGATCCCGAAGCGCACCTGTCGTATTAAAGATAGGGAGCAGTAAGTGGGCCCACAAGGAAATCAGAGCGACAGTAAGTTAGTAGTTGGAGACCAACCCAACTGCTGCACTTTACTCGCCCTACCTCCCCTTATTTTACCATTCATCTTCCCCAACTCCTTCACCGCCGGCTCCCACGAAGCGCCATGAAGCCTGCTCAGCGCCGATCAGGTCGTCACCGTTACACCATCAACCTCTCGACTCCTTTTTCTTTCCATGTTTTCACATAATTTATGTGTTTTCTGACGCCGATCTCCGAAATGGGGCAGGAATCGGGAAGCAACTGTTGGTTGCGGCGGCGCTGGTGTTTGGGGTGGGGAGTTGGTTATACGCTGAAATCCAGTCTCCGCCGCCGAAGTTGTGCGGGTCGGAGGGTGGACCTCCGGTGACGGCGACGAGGATCCGGCTTCGGGATGGGCGACAGCTGGCTTACGAGGAGACGGGAGTGTCGAAGGAGAGGGCCAAATTCAAGATTATTTTCTGCCATGGCTTCTCAAGCACCCGACTCGACGTCATCCGAGCTTCCACTGTTAGTGAACTATACTACTTCTTGGTTATTTACCTAATTCGCGCTTTTGGGGGCTGTTTGGCTGCTGGACTTTGCGTAATTTCTTGGCAAACGGCCAAAATTGACTATTTTATTACCATGGAATCTTAATTCTCTTTTGCCCCATTTCGGCCTGACTTCTGGATTTAACCTAAATGACAACCGGCCAAAATTGACTATGAATCGTTCGCTTCTGCTTCTTCGAATTATTCTTCTGCTTACCATGCTGCTAGTCCCCTCAAATGTCTTCTCCACGTCACCCTGGTCGCGACTTCCTCGGTCCTGCTCGAAGAGAAGGAGAGGCGATCCTGTACTGGTTGAAGCCTCGAAGTCAACCGGGTTAGATTTGTAGGCTAAAAGAATGCGAGGGATTTTTATTGTTTCTATTTATAAATTTTGATAATTTTAAAATCATTAGTAATAAAGAACGTTAATCAAAGGATATATTTTAAATTAATAATTAATTAATTTTTGTAATTGCTTAATTCATAAGTTTCCGGGAAACACTCAAAGAATAGAACGTTTTTCTACTAGGAAGTGATGTGTGAGAGAGATAGAGAGAGTACAACAAGGGGTAGTAAGTATAAGAAGGTGTTTTTTTTGAGGGGAGATGCTGGCTGGTTGTGGGGAGATGACTCGGATATGTCAGGAACTGTCAGTCATTAGAGAGGGTTTGCTGCCCAGCTAAGGGATGGTCAGAATGCCCCCCTTTAAGTTGGGTGATGAGTATATGTACGAGGAGCTGCATCAACGAGGTTTGTCCCGGACGAAACCACAAACGACCGCATAGTTAGGTTTTTTCTCGCTTAATTGTATCCAAGGGCGTGTTGTGATGCTCCCTCCTTTTGTAAATAAATGAATAGATAAAATACAAATTTTTTATTTCTGGTAATGATTGCTTCTCCTTGAGTACTACGCGGTTCTTGTTACATCAGTATTGTCAGTGATATTTTGTTTTTCCATGTTAATGTGATATATATATATATATATATATATATGCGCAGGATAGGGCATTGTATCCTTTATTTCTTCGTGAGTCTTTACTCCCCCTTATTATTATTCTTCTTCTCCCTCTCCCTTGTGCGTTGTTACTGATCTTTTGACATGAAAATACTCCCAAGAATCTTTTCGGTCGATTCCAGCCTCGAAAGTCTTGATTTTCTCTGCAATAGAAGTGAGGGAGATTCATAGTCTCTATGTTTCTGACCCCGTAATCCAACTTCGGCCGACTGCCAACCATTAGTGGACGATAGGTCATTTTCTCCGAATTTGATTTTCTATAAAGATCAATTTAAAATTGGTCTTCGCCTGTCGCTTTGTAAGGAAATTCGATCGATCTTCGGATGGTACGGGGTTATTCTTATTCAAATTCTTCCCAACTCCATGGCCTTCATAATGACTTTCGTTCTCTTTTGCCGAAGGATGAAGATCCCTTGGTCGCTTGAATTGTTCAACTATTTCTTCTCATTCCCGTCAAATCTGTTGAATGCGTTTTCCCTTACTTTCATTCCAATAAATAATAGTATGTACAATCTATTTTAGGTACATAATATTATGCATAATTTATTTTAGGTAACTTAATTAATACATATTCATAATCTAAATATTCAGCTAAAAGGAAAGAATCTTGTGCAAATATAATATTTTCATTTTTTGCAGCATTGCGAAGAAGGAAACTCTTTATTCTGTCTGGTTTCCTTTATTCTTGATTGATATTCCCTCTCAAATTGCTGAAAAAAACTGATGACGTTGTCGAGAAAGAGCCTTAGTAAATATATCAACTGTTTGAAGATCAGAAGTGATATGAGGAAGAGATATAACACCATCCTCATAGGCTTCTCAAATGGAATGACAATCCACCTCGATGTGTTTTGTGCACTCTTGAAAGACGGGATTAACAGCTATCTGGATAACACTAGTAAGCTGAGGAAAAACAAGCTCAGCCAGCACATCCCGAAGCCAAATGATCTCGGAACAAGCAGATGACATAACATGATATTCTGATTCAGTAGATGACTTAGACATTCAATCTTGTTTCTTGCTCTTCCAAGAGATTAAAGAGTTGCCGAGAAACGTGCACCATCCAATAATAGATCGACGTGTATCAGAACAACCAGCCCAATTAGCATCATTATAGACTGTTAAGATGATAGGAGACTCCGCAGAAAAGAACAAACCACGATGAGAAGTATCTTTCAAATACCGAACAATACATCGAACTGCAGCTAAATGAAGATGTGTAGGTGCTTGCATAAATTGACTAACTTGTTGCACAACAAATGAAATATCAGGACTCATAATATTCAGATAATTGAGGTTCCCAATCATTTGTCGATATAGAGATGATTTAGATAGAAAGTCACTCTCATTTTGTTGATATTTGACATTTACTTCCAAGGGAGTACAAGCAGAACGACCGTCTTGAAGACCAGCCAAAGGAATGAGTCCCTTCGTATAGTTGTGGTGATGAAGAAAAATACCAGCGGGAGAAGAGTGAACCTCGAGTTCTAAAAAATATGTTAATGACCCCAAATCTTTCATATGAAAAGAACCCTGAAGACGTTTCTGTAGCTGAGACATCAATTGATTGTCAGATCCTGTGATAACAATATCATCAACATAGACTAATAACAAAATAATTCCCTTATCAGTCTTGCAAAGAAATAATGATGAATTATACTGACTTTGAATAAAAGAGAAACTAAGAAGGGTATTGCGAAACTTTTCAAACCAGACTCGTGGAGCCTGTTTCAAACCGTATAGGGACCGTTTGAGCTTACAAACATCATGTGAATGTGTAGAAAACAAGCCTGGAGGAGGAGTCATATAGACATCTTCTTTGAGATCCCCATGTAAGAATGCATTCTTAACATCTATCTGCTTTAACAATCAGCCTTTAGATGCAACAATAGATAAAACCAGCCTGACAGTAGCCATATTAGCCACAGATGCAAATGTTTCTTCATAATTAATCCCGTATTCCTGTCGATTGTCAAGTGCTACCAATATTGCCTTATATCTGTTAAGAAAGTCATCAGATCAGAGTTTAAAAGAATAAACCCATTTACAACCAATGAGTTTAACACTTGTAGGATATTAAATAACATCCTAAGTGTGATTTTCTTGAAGTGCCTGAAGTTCCTCTTGCATGGCTTTGACCCAATAAATCTGTTTAACAACCTAAAAGTAAGAGACAGGAACAGTAGTATTAGTTAAAATTACAGAATACCCATATCTATCTTGAGGACGGATATCCCGGGTTGATCGTCGAATACTTGATGCACTTTCAGGATCAGAGTCGGAAATGATTGAAGGTGAAGTGAGCAGGCGTCGTGTGTAGACGATGTCCGGCTTGAACCTTTTATCAGTAGAAGAATTATCAAACTGTGGAAGTATAACTGTCTCTGGTGTCGACACATGATGTTGAAAGTAATATTCATGTTCAAAGAAAATCACATTTCGAGAAATATGCCATCGACGATTAATCGAATCATAACATATAAAATCTTTATGATTAGGATTGCACCCCATTAAGACACATCGTACTGACTGAGCTGCCAACTTATGACGTTCATGAGCAGGTAGATGAACAAAGCAAACTAATCCGAAAGTATGTATCATATGATAATTAGTTTTTTATCAAAAAGTCGATAGTAGAGAGACTCATACTTCAATTGTTGAGATGGTAAACGATTAATGAGATAAATTGCAGTAAATAAAACTTCAGCCCAAAATTTAGCTGGAACAGAAAATTCTATTAGTAATGTGCACACAATATCCAATATATGTCGATTTTTTCGTTCAATAACTCCATTTTGCTGCGGTGTATAGGAAAATGAACGTTGTGAAACAATACATTTGTTATGGAGAAATGCTTGAAACTCATGAGACATGTATTCACCGTAAAATTTTAATTCAAACGGAAAACTGAGTTTCAACATATGCTAAAAATGTTTGAAATACAGTAAATATATCTGTTTTGGAATGCAAAAATAGATCCAAGTAAATTGGCTGTAATCATCAATAAATGTCACAAAATATCTATATTGAACATGTGAAATAACTGGCGTAATTCCCCAAACAGCGTAATTCCCCAAACATCACTATACATCACTATGAATAATGTCAAAACATTTATTGCACGACTGCCTGAAATAGTAAAAGGTAATGTCTTACTTTTTTTCAAGTTTACAAACAAAATAGTCAACTACTAAAGTCTTATCTGTAGAATAAAGAACATCACTTTTAAGTAAATGCTTCAACACCATATCATTTGGATGACCTAGTCTTTTATGTCAGATGCTTGTCTTATTCTCAACAACTGCAGAACTTAATGACATTCTGGGAAACATTAAATTGTAATGGAAACAACTTGCCCACTTTATGCCCCTTCGCTATCATCTTCCTCGTCACCTGATCCTGCACAATACATCCATCACGAGAAAAATGTACATCACATTTATTATCTACAATTTGACCAATAGAAAGTAAATTAGTAGATTATTTAGAAGAAACCAAGACATGTCTGAAGGATGAGTTAATATCACTAATTGCCATAATTGGAATATTATTTCCATCAGCAACCTGAAGGAACAGAGGAAGCGGTCAAGCAAGCGACACAGAGGAAGCAATTAGGGCTAACAGGACGAGCTCTCCAGGCGAAGCAAACGACTTGAAAGATTCAGATGCTAATATTCTACGTGGCTCTGATACCATGTCAAATAGGCTGAATGTTTTTTCCTTTGCTTTCATTCCAATAAATAATAGTCTGTACAATCTATTTTAGGTACATAATATTCTGTATAATTTATTTTAGGTAACTTAATTAATACATATTCATAATCTAAATATTCAGCTAAAAGGAAAGAATCTTGTGGAAATATAATATTTTCTTCTATGCAGCATTGCAAAGAAGGAAACTATTTATTATGTATGATTTCCTTTATTCTTGATTGATAATTCTGAATCGGCCAGGACGACTA